CCCCCCATTTTTTTTCCCCCCCCCCCCTCCGCCGCCGCCACCCCCGGATCCCCGGCAACCCACTCCCGTCGCTTTTCGACTGCGGAGTAAGAAATCGAAATTAACCGTAGTAAAGGGTACTTCTGAACTTTCCACGAGTAGCAGGTAATAGCGAGGAATAAAGTACTTAATCATCGCGGTATTATCGGCCTGTAGAAAAATTGAGACGTCCAAACTTCTAAATAGTCCGCGTAGACGTTACTGTCGTGGTTGACTCTCTAGAAGCCGAAGGGTATAGTCGCCACAGCGAGAGAGAGAGAGAGAGAGAGCACCCCCTCCGGGGGTCGGTGAAGGGGTCGCGACCTGAGGGATAAAGCTCTGGTAGGATGAGGTCGGGAAAATGAACGGCATCATGGGGTGAGGGATAAACTAGTTAGCACGAGGTACCCGTCGGTTGATCGCAAACATGTTTTCCCCCAGGGAAAACTTCCCTGGTAATTGCTCGTCTGATTTTCCAGCCGTCGTCACTTTTGCAGCCCACGCGGTACCTATCTAGATATATCCATGCACGTGCCTCCCCCCCAACTGAGGTACTAAGCTATACGGGCACCGTTTCGCCCTGTAAATTACGATCTTTGGAAATGTCATAAATAAAAATCACGTGAAACTAGATGGTATGAAGGGAAGCGTGATTAAGAACTTCGGGGCGTTGGAAAGACGAAGGGGTCCAAGACGTTTGAAAAAAAAAAAAATACTGTATAAATGTGACTTCCACGATTTCACCGTTGTATATAGAAAATGGTGTAAAAAGCGTCACGAGTCGTTCGAGCAAAGTTTTTCAGTAAAAGTAAATGCCAGGAGGTTGATATCTATGATGAAATAAGAAATACGTTAAGAAAAAGAAAAAAGAAAAAAAAGTCCAGGACGTCCTGAAAAAGGGATTCCGAACGTGGCACGAGAGGGACGTTCCCGTCCAGGTCCAGGGAGAACGACCGGATAGGAACGGACGACTAATTAAAAGTTTCTCCAGAGTCTTCGGCAAGTCGGCTCCGGATCCGATTTAGCTTGGGTGCCCGCTAGACCGAAGTACCCAAACCACCAGCAATCCCTCATCCAGCCCTTTCGAGTCTTCGAAAGCCTCTATTATCCCTCCTCCGGTTCGCAGTCCAACCAACCGAGCTACCCCCGGTGCTTCACCCTGTATTACCCACCCGTCCCGTCAAGAGCTCGACAGCACCCTCGCCGTCCGACTATTTTCAAAGGACTTATACGTCCGCCGGAGTCAATTTGCACGAGTGCGAAACGATGTGAAAGTGCAGGGTGATGGCGGAAGGAGGAAAGAAAGAAAGGAGGAAAAGGGCTAAAGAGTGGCGGACTGGGCTGGAAATCAGAGCGAGGGCAGGAGTAAAAGTGGAACTAGGAATGCCAGTGGAAGCGCCAGCCTGAGAGACGGCGAGAAGTGCAAATATCATTAGCCATCCCGGTCTCCATTTCCGTCTGAAAGCTTCAGGACTCCCGACCCTGTAGCCCGTCAACCTGAACTGGCAGCATCCACTACATCCGTTCGAGCTACTTTTTCAGCTGATTCACAGAGCCAATAGGCATTTCCAGACGGAAATCAGGCTGCGCGGGGATCCTGTTCCTATTGCTTCCGCTTTTCGATACTTTCTTCGTTCAGCATTTTCTCTCTTGTTTCTACCACTTCCCTGCTTTACTCGTTACTCCCCTCCCTCCCTCACTCGCCCTCCCACTCTTTTTTCATCTTTTCACGGCAATTAACGAGCGCTGGAATTACCGGGGGTTGCCGTAATTGCACCGTAATCAAATTTGCCCCAAGCAAATTCGATGAACGAGGGCAGCACCAGCGATAAGTCGATTTTGAATACGAGAGCGCAATCGTCAAGATTTTTAACACGTCGACCATTTCTTTTTTTTTTTTTTTTTTTTTTTTAAAATTCGATGAACGAGGGCAGCACCAGCGATAAGTCGATTTTGAATACGAGAGCGCAATCGTCAAGATTTTTAACACGTCGACCATTTTTTTTTTTTTTTTTTTTTTTTTTTCAAACGTCGTATATTTCTATACGTCCTACGAGCTATTCGCTGGAAAATAATTCCATTTCCGTGTAACCAGTCTACACTATACCCACTTTACTATTTAAAGCCGTTCCAAATACACGCTCGTATTAACCTCAAGGCGTTTCGAAGTTGCTAACCGCGATTACGCACGTTTCCGAGCACGAGGATTTAAAGCTGCTCTCTCGCGCGATCCGCACTTACTGTATCCCAGGAACCACGTAATACGAGAGCTTTGTAAATTTGAACCAACCGAGAGCGCGGGAGCGTCGAGAGTGTCTCTAATGGGTGGTAAAGGATGCGACGCGCGTAAGGACGTAATTATTTATCCTGATACTCCAGGAACTCGACCCGATGAGTCTGGCTCTCTTGGCAAAGACAGAAGACCAGGGACGAATGGAGCAGCCAGCAGCCAGATAAATTTAACTATAATTACACGAAGGTTTGTTACGCGAAATACCCAAAAATTGAATCCGATTGAACATTAGATATTTTGAAGCATACAAGTATATACCAAAAATTGTATATTAAGTATTTGAAAGAGTACGAAGAAGACTCCTACCTGTGTGCTTGTAAATGGAATTGACTCGCTGCACGTGTCTCGTCATAACTTCTATACACGCCTCCTCCGTGCCGTAACGCGCGAAGAATTGATGATCAGCCTGCAGGTACAGCATACATGTAGTCTTACGTGGATCGACGGTCGCCCGTTTGTGAAGATGCCTTGCGAAACGTTCACGATAAATTCTAAAATTCCAAAGCGGTACAGTGCATTAGATTCCAATGTGCAATTTCAGACTTTAACATTCCACGCCGATAATTTGCAAGATCTCTATGAACTTACAGACACTCCAATGAAATTGAATCTAAGGGATATGGATAAGGGGCTTAAGGGATGAGCGTGCAAAGGTGAAGTCTACGTGGATCCTCTCTTGTCCTTATCACCGTATAAGCTCTGTACCAACTTCCAGGAGCAGTACTGATAGTCACTAATGATATCAACTATAACAGGATATCTCGAGCAGCCAAGGATCGATATTACAAGGACTTTCGTTGATATTTATTTTTTCATCGTAATTACCTGTCTAGGTACTCCAGATCAAAGTTCTTATCAGGTTTTGCTGTAGTCGTGACATTTACGTTTATTTTCTTCGAGTACAGGCCGCCGTGCATATGAACTTCGTTATCTATCAGGTGCTCGTATAAGGGTTGTGAGCTGTCGTTGACGTAGAACGAGGATCTGAAGAAATAGAGAGAAATAAAAAATTTTAACACGCGAAAAAAAATAGCTGATTCAATGATTTTTTAAATAATTAATCAAATTCCATGTAGCTATAAACATTGTCAAATTTATTATTTCTTTTACCTATCGGACCCGTGGTTAAGGGTGCTTTGATGTAAATCGTGACTGGCGCATCGGAGGGGTTGTGGCGGTGAAGTGACGTCAGACGCCGTGTAAACTATGGTATGATACGGGGGTGAAGTGTCTTCATCCCCCATGAGATACCTGCTGGTAGGCTCGATGTAATATTCCTCCAGTCCAGTCACCACAGTCCCGTCGAATAGGCCATCCTCGGTAACGACACCCTGGACCACGGCCATTTCGTCCCCTGAAAAAATGAAAAAGCAAATCGTCAAATCGTATTGCCCACCAGAAACAAATATACGAAATAGTCTTCGGACGTAGGACTTGGGAGACGCGAGAGTCCGGGCTCTTACGAGGTTATGTTCGCTCGGGAAGGAAAGTAACATGGGTTTGCCAAGGGTGATCACGTCACAGTTCCACCCTAATTACGTCGAAAGGCGTGACGGAACCCTGGCAAACGGATACTCGGTTCCTCCATTTCAATCCTGTTCGTGGTATCTATAGGCACCAGGGATAGTAGCATAGAACGTGCTGGATGCGGTACACCTCTACTTTACGAAATTGGCAGGGATTCTCTGTCTGTCCAGTGGGTATAGAACGGGATGGGCATTCTGGATTTCTTACCGGAGAAATCCCACGGGGAAAGATCACGTCACGGATACCAACCGTAATTACGTCGCTGGGGAATATCCAGCAGAAGGATCGAACGGCTTCGGTAAAATGTTCCTATTCGCGGATAAACGTATAACGATTGGTAACGTAACTTTTTGAAAATATTTTTTTATATTTCGATATTTTACCCTCAGATACAAATATTTGACTTGAGGTAAAAGAAAAAAAAAATATACATTTTCTGAATCCGCTTCGGACCTTCACGCAAATTCAACGTTAAGCTCGGCTAACTTACTCGGTACGAAAATTCCTTAAACGTGCAGTTACGTGGCTGACGAAGAATGTCGAAGTGGATAACCGAAGAGGATGGACGATTTTCGGAAGGTAAGTAAATCTGGTCAGAGGACAAAAAGTGAAATTGCGAAAAAAATTTGTTTCCTAATTACCACGTACTATCGGGTAAATGAAAAAAAAAAAATATCTATAATAATCCATATCAAAAATCTAAATTGTACAGTACACGTAAACCTATTGAGAATATTTATTTTCGCGGAACATGCACCACGAGTGACACGTCAGTCGAACTGTCCTCGTGACGTGAATATAACGTTTCAGGCATATGTGTTAACTCGTATGACTAATACATACGCGACACGAAGAATGGTCGAGCGATCGTACAAGCAGATACTGTAGTACCATTCGGGATTGTCGATTAATTTTCTCGCTGGGCGTGTGCGACAACTGTAAATGGAAACCAGCCAATGGGAAGAAAATGCGCGAACGTAGTTACATACACCCCCAGAAGCGACGTTGGTGAATCGATTTGCCGTAGAAGTAAAAAAAAAGGGGCAGGCAAAAGAGAAATTGCTGAAAGAAAAATCCCAAGGAAGAATGAGTGGGGAGTAAAAGAATGTTGAAAAAAAAAAAAAGATTAGTACAAGAGGACAAATTCGAGTAGGGCATAGTTACTTAACGAAGCTGAAAGGTATTTTTTGTTGAAGGCTATATACGTCAATCTTTATAAGATTTATCAATTACTCTCAGCATCCTCGTGTTTCTCTTCGATTTTACTCAGGGACATTTCTATATAATATTTTTATTCCCTTTCATAAAGCTTATCGTTACCGGACTCCCTTTGCACCGTGTAAACTTTATCCACCGTCCGCTTACACGAGTATCTGTATAGTTAGATTAAAAGTCGACGAGATATGAAAAAAAAAAAGAGTCCCTTACATCCCCTCATAAAGTCCACTTGAAATTCTAATTAGCCGCGCACGTATTGCCGAGATAACCTCTCGTAAAGAAGACTGACCACTCGGCCGGATACGAGTGGTACGTAAAACGTTGAAATTGGTACAGCAGATATACCCCGCCATAGGGGATGGCAGTAAATTTCCGTTTAATTTGAAATAACGATTCCTGCCGGGTCTATTGGAGTTCTCATAGCCATGCAACGGATAAGAGGAATCCTGTCCAAGTTGAACGAGCATCCGCGATAGCAGGCTCCGGCTAAGGATTATACGAGGAAAAGTAAGTTTCCAGTGGCCGACCGGGAAAGCTAGTGGAAAATCTTATCCCTTTAGCGAAGCTTCGATCTCATAACCGGGTGGAGCGGGTGGAGCGGGTGGAGCGGGCACCCTGAAAAAGACGCGCCGATGGGGGGATTCCCCCGCTAATAAGCGCCGGGACTTTAAATCCGGAGTCAATATGAGAGCGAGAAAGTTTAGTTTGGGATTCGTGGATATTTCCTGGTCCACGCCCATCTTCGTCCTCCAGGCTTCCTGTCCAACCCCTATATCCTCGTGCCAGTGGCTTTTGTTATCAAGCCCGGGGAAAAGTTTCCGTCGAAGACGACGTCGGGAAAAGGATGGAATAGAGCGGGATACTCGACTCTCTTAAAACTACCCGAGATTACCATCGACTGTGCAACTAACTTCCGGCTAGGGACTTCGCAGCATCCAATTAGATTGTATAGTTATTGTTACGAGAGTGGCATTGTACCTATGAAAGGGATCCTGCCTCTTTTCATCTTATACGAGAGCTTTCGGAACGTCTTGAGATTTAACGGTAAAGGAGATCATACTCAATAATTATTGTCACTTTCGATAAAAACATCCAACTTCCGTTCATTCTTCTCAGTACCGATAACCACGGTCCGGAGAAGCTCTATCTCGTCTTCTAATTAATTAAAAAAAAAATGGACCGAGACAGCATCCATCCGCAGATGAAGCAAATGAGAGAAGACACCGGCAAATATGCTTAATGAGAGTACTCGAGATGCTCCGATCTGCTGGTCCATATCATACGCCAGGGAACTTGAGACAGGCTGAAAGTTCGGAAAGTTGTTCGCGAGTCTTGATAAGAGATCGAGACAGGAACCGAAAGACTTCTTGGTGAGAGATTGGAATATTCTAGTGGTATACCTATACAGTGTGGATTCGTATACGCGGAACATAGAGTCTGATAGCAAAACTCATGGATCTGAGTTTTACGAGTGCATAAATCATGGAACGTATATATATTGCAATAAGAAAGACCCAAAAAATAGAGTTATAATATACATGTATACAGTATACAGAGCCAGAGGCCTGACGGGATATTTTCTATAAAACAAAGCCGAACGGAATACAGGACCATAAACTGAAGGATACGAATGGCGGAAGAAGTCCAGGACTCGCACAGTGTAACGCAATATAAACTCCATGAAATCTGCAACGTCTAACTCACGTGGGAAAACGGCCCTGGCGCCCTCGAGTTGTGGCTCCTCGTAAACCAGACTGCACGTTCTGGCTTCCTCCTGGCTTCTTTCCCTTTTCTTATGGACTCACCTTGCCATACCGCATGCACGCTAACGATATTAGAACGAAGCGACACCCGTGCGGCATCATTCTGGACTTTCCTTCCTAATGCCAATCGAAGGGTTGAAAGCGACGCTTGGGTCTGTTAGCATCGTGTGGCATGGAGCGTCAGGAAGACCAGACCCGAAGGAATGCATATCGTGTGTACTGGCCCACGCGCACGTGCAGGTTCGTCAAAACAAAGAGAAGAGGGAAGGGGAAGAGGGGAAGGCGTTCATCCTGCCTTTTTATCGGAAACAATCTGCGCGCAATGTGCGGCAAGTGAAATGAATTCTCGGCGGGGTTCCCGGTAATGAAATTTTACGTTCCAATTATACGCTGCATGGCTCCGTGGCCTTGGCTGCCACAGGTCCAACTCGGCGAAGCCTTATGAGTATTTAGTAGCTCGGTAAAACCTTGCCGTGGAAAATTTCCTGGGTATAAATGACCGGAGGCGCGAGAATGGAGGGCTATACCAGGTACGTTATAACTACTGGAATAAAAGCAGACACTGGCGCACTGACGGGACGCTTGAGGAAGACGCGAGGACTGTCGGACAAGCCAATACTTTTCGGGCGACTGAGCTACACGCACGTTGAGTGACAATACGGGAGGAAAAGCTGCTGAGGTCAGGCGGTTGCTTTATTACGGATTAGAAGCAGGAGAAAAGTCAAAGGGAGAAAGAGTACAGTGAAGGGACGCTACCATAAGGGTCTTTTAGGTACGAGCCCAGTGGAAAGTCCATTACGAGGTGGTTCTGGGCTAGTGTTGGACTGACGTCAGTAAAGCTGAAACTGCCACAGTGGAAAATCAAAATAAGGTCTATTTCAAAATTAGGAACTATTTAAGAGCTAATTAAGTGCTTCAAAAATATGCAACTGCCAGACTTGGAACTCATCCCCTTACCCAAAAACCAGGCCTATCCCGCTCTGGCCACAAGAGAGAAGTACCTTCCCACGTGGAAATTAAGGTGTTTCAACGCTTGGAATCTATTTTGGGATTAAAGAGCTCCCAAGATACACGGCAGTCAAATTCAGAGCCCACCCCTCTTAAATTATATACTTTGTTTTAGTTTTTTCTTGTTTATGTTGTGGCGGTTACAACTTTTGTTCAGCTAGCAGGTTCTGACTAGAAGGAGTGGAGCTCTAAAATTTCAATTAGGACACTTAATTAGCTCTGAAATAGCTTCTAATTTTGGCAATAAATTCTTTTTCGATTTCCCCCTGTCGCGGTTCCAGCTTTTATTGACGTCTTGGACTGGCCCAGTGGGGACCCCAGACAGGCCCTGGTCTAACCAAAGAAAATGTCTGCTATGGAAGACCACGAATCCTGGCTTGTCTGTACCTCGACCAAAGGACGAATGGGTGGAAGAGCCAAGTGAAGTCGAGTTGGCAGTGCTTTCCGTGACGGGGCTGTAGGATGAGGATGATTCGCGAGACGCGAGTCACGTAACAGCTGCAGCTAGTTGCAGTTCTACCGAAACTCGAGGAGGAGTGCGGACGGTCGGTGTCTGCTAACTTTCTCGTATGGGAAATGGACTAGGTCTCGAAGAGGTCTATATATATATATATATATATATTATACACACACGAGAAGATCACTGAGGTCCTAGCTGGTCTGGGATACAACGAAGCGAATAAGAAGGAAGAGAAGTCTGCGGCGGGTTGCTCCATGGCTAACTCGTTATTAAGTTGAGACATTATGCAATTAACTGAAGGCACGTAGCTATTGGATGAAGCCAGTGCACGTACCGAGTCCCTAACATGGACTTTGAACTTAAGATCCTTCGTTTTGT